TCTGATGCTTAAGTTAGCGGAAGGACAAATAAGATAAGTGTTAGGGGATGAATTGAACTAAATGTAAAGTGTACTTGAATAATGACCAAGGGTGTTGTATTTATAGAGTTGGACGGTGCAATTCTAGTAGTTTTGAAAACAACAATGCCTTATCTGAAGGACGTGAGAGTCCTGTGAAAGCTGGACATTACAATTTCGTTGAAGTTGTAGAATTATTGTAGTTGGATAACACTAAAACTGTGGTAGTTGACTTTTTCTAAGTTAAGGAAGAGGAAAAAAGGGTAGTGAGGAGCACTAGATGCCCGAGGACCTCCACCCCAAGGTCAAGCCCGACCACACTAGCCCTAAGATGTTCTGGTCCAAGAAGAGTGCTCGAGATTGCATGTGGTCGGGCTGTATATAAATTGTACACATCAATCGATTTTAGTATGTAAGGTAGATTAGCTTGGTCGAACCATGATTGCGTAGCATGGCTAGGTCGGAAGCATTTTGCATTTCAGGTTTTGAAATTCTCAGAAAGGCAACTACATAATTTATTATTGTTGGTTTTAGTAAGTGTGCAGGGAGCTCTAACTTGGTTGAATCATGATTATGTGGCATTAGTATTTTAATAGTTAAAATTTTAAGTTCCCTTTTTTTATATAAAACATGCCGTTACTATTTTAATTGTTAAAATTTAACATTATTGGTAATTCGGGAGATAATTGAAAATGGACAATAATTTATTAAACCGTTACTTTGAGATCAGACTTTACTTTCCGTCTAATTCCAATCTTTAGTATAGAATTTTCGTTGAGTTACTTGACATATTTTTTGACATTGCTTTATTTGCATATTCATTTCCAAGTAGAGAGAGATAATACTAGGGATCGAACATAAAGTTATATTTACATACTTCGGAAGTCTAATATTCAAAATATTGGGTAGAGTTTGATAAGTGCATTTTGCGTACTTATTATGCCACAAATTATAGTTAGAAGGAGGAAGAAGATGAAACAACATCGAAAAATGTAAGAAAAGAAAGTTGGGAACCAAATTGCACTAGAAGCAAAAAGTTTCTACCATGCGATCGCCTAGACTTCAACATGACACAGCTTGGAGGAAATTAATTGGCCCATACGATCGCATGGTATGTTTCTAGCGCGAGAAATTTTTGTTTCATTTCTCGATCCAACCACTTATGTAATGATACTTGGAGAATCTATTTAACTCTAGACTCGTTCAGAATTAGGGTTCAGGCATTTTTAGAGATAAAAACATCATTGAAGAGCAAGGAAAAAGACTAGAATAAGGGTTTCACTTCAAGATTCAAGATTTAACTTCTAGTTCTTTGGTGATATCTTCTATTTATTACTTTTATTATTCTTTTATTTTATCCATGTTAGAATAGACTTTTTATTGTACTAGGTGAATGATGAA